CACTGTGGTGCTTTTTCTTGTTATACTATGACTCTAGATTAAGTGGACTATCTGTTTTTGATGGAGCCTTAGGGCTTGAGATGGGTGTGGCCTGAGAGCTCTGTTTGGTGTGCCAAAGGTGACACTCCCAGGTTAGGCGTGGTAAACCTCTCTCTCTGTCTCTCTCTCTCTCTCTTTTTTTTTTGATTCAACAGGGAAGTTATTCTGCACAGCTGAACAAAGTTGGAGGTAGTTAGCAGGCAAATGATATACCCACAGGAGCCAGAGATCAGAAGCTCTTTCCCAAGGACCACACAGGGAATCTGTTCGGCCCTTAGAGTGCGCTCAAATTCTCCTTCAGTCTCCCACTGGGTTGCCAAAGTTACGGAATTGTAGCGTCTCTGGAGAGTGCTCACGTGAATTCCGTGAGTTCTCTCCCCCACCGTCTCTTTTTTCACAGTCTCAGTTCAGTAGCACCATAAATTTACTAAGTCCTAATCTCCTGTTAATTCGCCCCACCCAGAGTCAGGTTTTACTGCTAGGCTCAGGGCCGGTGCAGACCTGAGGTGGCTCTGCTTATGACGTATGTCCAAGATGGCGCCTGCTCTTTGTCTTGCTCGCCCTTGAGAGGTGAGCGGAGAGAGAGAAACCCGTGTCCATACCAGTCACCTTTTTTTTTTTTTTTTTCCCTCTCTCTCTCTTCCAGTTAGCTTGGTGAAGTCCCCCCCGCCCCGGGGGTCGTTCCCTCTAGTCTCCTCTCTCCGCTTGCCTGCCGGTGTCTCGGGTTATTGAGGTTCGGCTCACCTCGCGTTCCAGCGCTGGTGTGTTGAGTCTGCCGCTGACGTCCCGAACTGTGGGCTCCCACGCTCTCCACGCAGGTCTGCTCCCCTTCCAGCGCCGATGTGTGGACTCGGAGCCCTGGACTTCCCAAGTCTCCCCGCTGTTGCACTCCCCTTCGAGCACTTGCGCGCAGCTCCGTCCCTCGGCTCGGCTTCCGCGGCTCAGTCCTGTGGCTCGGTCCTGTGGTTCGGCTTTCGCGCGGTGGGCGACCTTGTTCTCCCAGTAGGTCCTCCGATTCACGCCCACTGGATCCAGAAGAGTTTTGTCTGCAATATTTTCCTGGTTCTTTTTTCTGAGGCTACCGTAACTCCCCTTTTATTAAACTAAATTTTCCCGGACTATCGGTGCGCGCCCTCACTATTCCGCCATCTTGGCTCCGCCTATATTACATATCTTTTTAGCAATGCTTTATGCTCATATTACTACTTAAGAGCACAAACCCATTTTTTTCTCCAAGACCAACCCTAATTTTTCTTAGTTTTATTATATGCTCAAGTTGAAATGGCAATTTCTTGCTCCTCATCTAGCCCAGCTCCATCTATTCTTTAATGTTGATAGACATATTGGAAATAACTTTCTACAGCCTCTATTTTTTTTGTATATACTACTTTGTTAAAATACCAGTTTTCAACAATCATTGCAAATGGCACCTTATCTATAAAGTGCCAACACAGCAACATTCTCCTTTTGAATTCCAATATATCTGCAGGTTGAAAAATATTTCTCTTTATTGTTTATCATTGTGGTTTGCCATAATAGGTTGTCTACATTTTACTGAGCTAATCTTAATTGAACCGCACAGATAAGGAAGTAAAAATAAAGTTATGTAGTTTGTAAAAAAAAAAAATTAATGTATATGAGAAGGGTACTTGTAACTCAGAGAAAGATGCATTGGTAACACTTAACATAATATCTATTTTATATCAAACAATTATGTTAATGATGCTGATAACACTAATTAATAAAATATTATGTGTTCAGGTACTGTTTTAAGCACTCTGCATGCAATATGTCATTTAATCTCCCAAAGAATTCCAAATTGGGCTAGGTGTTTTACCTAACAGTGAAGACATCACTTAGGATATCTGCATCCCATGTTGAACTCTCTGGATTCAGTTCCCAGATCTAGTTTCTAATTCCAGCTTTCTGCTAATGCACAGCCTAGGAGGCAGCAGTGACAGCTCAAATAGTTAGGTTTTTGCCACGTACAAAGGAAACTTGGATTGTTTACAGTTCCCAGCTTCAACTCCCCTGGCCATTGGAGGCATTTGGAGAGTGAACCAGCAAACAGGAGTTCTTTCCACCTGTCTCTATGACTCACAAAAAACAAGCCTTAAAAGACAAAAAAAACCCCTGTAAGTTGTATATAATTATTATCCCCATTTTAGAGACAAGAAATCAGTATTGCATGTTTAGAAGTAAGCAGTGTGACAATTCTAGGAAGATTTCTTGAATTTAGAAGACATTAAAGAAATATTATTTCCACACTGGGTTTTTATATCTTTTATTTCCAAATTTGCTACTTGTTAATAGATTGTAAAGTGAGTATCATGTGAATAATTTCTCAAAAATCTCTTCTTTTAAAAGATTTTTAAAAATTTATTTAAAAGGTAGAGTTACAGAAGGAGAGACAGAGAATCTTCTATCTGGCCAGGACAAAACCAGGAGATTCATCTGGGTCTCCTATGTGGGTGGCAGGGGCACAAGCAGTTGGATCATCTTTCGCTGCTTCCACGGGCATATTAGCAGGGCAGTGGATTAGAAATTGAGCAGCTGGGACAAGAACCGGTGTCCATATGGGGTGCCAGTGTCTCAAGTGGCAGCTTAACCCATTATGCCATGATACTGGTCTCTAAAAAATCTCTTAAATAATCTGTTTCATCATATATTGTAAGGCTAATATTTCCATAAGTAGATAACTGATACTAAACAAATGAAATAGACCATGAATTCTTCAGGAAAATAACCATAACTTAATCATATCCGTACACTGAGATTCTGACCTTATATTTGATACATAATTATGTCAGATTTAAGATAAATGGTTGGGGCCAGTGTTGTGGTGAAACAGGTTAAGCTGCTGCCTACAACACTGGGACACCATATCAGAGCACTGGTTGAAGTCCCTACTGCTCCACTTCTGATCCAGTTTCTTGTGCTAATGCAACTGGGAAAGCAGTAGAAGATGGCCCATGTGCTTGGGCCTCTGCCAACCACATGGGAGACTTGGATGGAATTCTTGGCTCCTGGTTTCAGCGTGATTCATCCCGGACCATGGGAGCCACTTGGAGAGTGAACTAGTGAATGGAAGATCTCTTTTTCTCTCTCTGTCTCCCTTTCTGTCACTCTGGCTTTCAAATAAATAAAAACAAATCTTTTTTTTAAAAAGATAAATGGTCACATGAATTAAATTCAAGGCCAATCAATTTTACTTTTAAAGTTTGCTTTTCTCCTCCCTAAATTTCTGCATTGCTTTGGTTCTTCAAAATGAATTTTCAAAGTGTTCCCCAGTAGAGTATTTTCTAAAATGTACAGTAAGATTTTTGTACAATAGCTGAATAAGTGGAGAAAGTTGCAAAAAAGAATGATACTATACTACTGAGACTATATATCTATATAGATATAGATATATAGTATCAAAAGATGAGTAAAAATGTGCTTTCTGGTTAATAAAGGCAATGGTATTGTAGGCAGAGGAGAAACACAAGTGAACAGGCCCTTAGGGATCCAGCAACTTGTTTACGTTCTTAGCTTCATTATAGCTCAACAAGAGTTCTTCAGAAAGTTCATGGAAAAATGCATTTATGAAAAGGCTATGGATTAAAAAACTTTTTTACACCCAAACTTATCTTTTAAATCAATTTCCAAAAATTTTTCAAAGCACTCTTATAATGTAAAGCATGTTGGAGATTGGCAGGAACCTGTAAAGACAGACAACAGGGGCTCTGGCATTGTGGTGTAGAGGGTAGAGTCACCACCTGCAATGTCAGCATCCCACATGGGCACCAGTTCAGGTCCCAGCTGCTCTATCTCTGATCCAGTTCCCTGCTGATGGCCTGGGCAAAGCAGCTGAAGATGTGTCACATGCTTCGGCCCCTACTAATGCATGGGAGATCCGGATGAAGTTCCTGGCCTCTGATCTCTGCCTGGCTTAGGCCATTATAGCCATTTGGGGAGAGAACCAGTAGTAAATCGAAGATCTCTCTCTGTCTCTGTCTCTCCCTCTCTGTAACTCTGACTTTCAAATAAATAAATACATCTTAAAAAAAAAAAAAAAAAGAGTGGGTAGACTGTCATGAGTTTTTAATGCTCCGCTGAGAAAATTAACATTACTTTCAGGACACAGAAGTGTTAACACTTTTCTTTTTTTTTAAATAAAAAATTATGTAAATCTGCTGGTTTACTGCCCAAATTGCTGCAATGCAGGACCTGGGCCAGGCTGAAGCCAGGAGTTTGGAACTGCAAGTGGGTCTCTCACATGGATGCAGAGCCTCAAGCACTTGAGCCATCTTCTACTTCTTTCCTAGGTGCATTAGCAGGGAGCTGGATTGGAAGTGGCACAGCCAGGACTTGAAATGGTTCCTGTATCACATGCTAATGTTGCAGAAGGAAGCTTAAACTGCTATGCCAAAATTCTGCCCCCAGAAGTTTTAACTCTTGAACTCATCCTTGATACAGATATACTTTGTAGTAGCTAAAACAAACTAACTTACTAGAAACTGAATCCTCTAATAAATATTTCCTAGCTCATGCTATATGAAACTACCATTTTTTATTCATTGACAAAAAGTTTCCACAAATTTATGTACTTGTAGGCAGTACTTTAAAAGTATGGTAGAATATAAGAATTTAAATGATACTGCTTTTTAAAATTAAATACTGGATAGAAAGTATGTTTTCTTTCTTTTTGCTCTGGTAGTACTTACATAGTTTAATTTTGGTGCAACATGTGGAAATAAAGTCAAAAGCTTAAACTTCCTGTTCCATTTTATTCCACAACACCATGAAAGTCCTGACAGAAGTCATTTTTTCTTTTATTCTGCTTATTTTTAGAATTCAGTTCCCAATCAAAGAACATATACAGAATGTTTTATGTTCAGCAAGCTTTTCAACACAAAGCTCAATTTTCCAGTGATGCTGGAAATTCCAACCAACACTGTCATAAATTTTAAAACACATACCTAAGAGTGCAGTGAGCTTAGGAAGCAGTCCAACTTGTACCATCTTATTCCTCAGTCCTGTGTCAAAGGAGAGGTTTAGTAAAAGCCGGAGAGTTATATTCAGCAGATCTTCATGCTCACAAGGTATCATTTTTACGAGTTTTTCAACAATATCCATTTCCACCTAGGTACAATAATACAAATATAGTGAGGTTTTGTTGCATAGTAAGACAAAAAGATTACAAATGTTTTTCTGTCTTTAACATGTATTGATTTTAAAAGTAATTGTGCTAATCTTATACTATTTCAGTCTATAATCTTTCCTTGCATCAAACTTTTGAGCAGAAAATATATACCCCCACATCATCTCCATCTTTCCTCATTTAATGGCATCAACAGGAAGAACAATTATATTAGACCCTTGAAAACACTGTATTACTGAATACTACCCAATAAGTACTGGAATCTGCTAGATCAGATAAGATCTCACCCTGGCCTTCAAGGATCCCTCAGTCTATAAAGTGGGTGGACAAAGAATAAATAATGAAAACACAATGGGAAGGAAGTTGAATGTAGAAAGGGTTCTGGATTCAATGTGGAAAGAAGTGATCAGAGAGCAATTAACCTACCTAGAAAAAAAGAAGACTTTAAATTAGGAATCAAGTCTTTAAAAATTAGTAAACATTAGTTTTCTCATTAAAAAAGGCATTGACACCAAGGTTGTGGAAAAGGCCAATGGATAGGCATTTAGGAATAACAGGCTTATTTGGGCAATTGCAAGTGCCTGGCTATGATTCATAGTATAAAATATATGCTGAGGATTGGCAGAAATTTAACTGCAGAACTTCAGCTATCCTAAAGGCTTTTAATGCTCTGCTAATAAATTAAACATTATTCTATAGGTAGTAGAGTGCCCTTAATGATATGAAGTCCAATTGGTGATAATGGTCAGACTAGTTCCTACATGAGGAACACTCCTGAAATTGATGTTCTCAGAGACCAGCCAAATGCCAACCGTGTAAAGAGGCTTGTTTAAGAACAGTATCAGGCCCCTTTTCAGCAGTCAATAAGATGAATATTAACCAAGACCAATAAATGGAAAAACAGGCCTAGGACAATGAAAACAACTGATTATTTAGCTCTGACGTTTAACTTGAGGTGATATTCAGTGGATATTTGGGCAACTTATAAAACTTAGAGGATGCCGGTTCTGCGGCTCACTAGGCTAATCCTCTGCCTGCGGCACCAGCACCCCGGGTTCTAGTCCTGGTTGGGGTGCTGGATTCTGTCCCGGTTGCTCCTCTTCCAGGCCAGCTCTCTGCTGTGGCCCGGGAAGGCAGTGGAGGATGGCCCAAGTGTGTGGGCCCCGCACCCGCGTGGGAGACCAGGAGGAAGCACCTGGCTCCTGGCTTCGGATCAGTGCAGTGCACTGGCCACAGAGCACCAGCCATGGCGGCCACTTTGGGGGTGAACCAACGGCAAAGGAAGACCTTTCTCTCTGTCTCTCTCTCTCACTGTCTAACTCTGCCTGTCAAAACAAAAACAAAAACAAAAAAAAACTTAGAGGAGAATCTGGGCTAGCTACAGTAGTTGAAACTCTGGGACATAAGTCAGCAAACCACAGCTAGTGGGCCTAATCTGGCCTGCCATCTGTTTTCATATAATCCATGAACTAAGAATGGTTTTTGGCTTTTACATTTTTAAATGTCTGGAAAACCATCAAGTGAAAAATAATAATTCATGATACATAAAAATTCAAATTTCAGTTCCCATAAAAAAGATTTTATTGAAACACTACCATGTCCACTTGTTTGCAGACTACCAATGGCTGCTTTCATGCCACAACAGCAAAGGCGAGTCACTGTGACAGAGGGCAAATTACCTGGACAGTCTAACATACTGACTATTGGGCACTTTGGAGAAAATATTTGCTGAGTCCATGCTTCAGAATATTATAAAACTGCATTAAGAGAACTTGTTTTAGAGTGAGAAATCACAAAAGACAGAACTCATTTGGTAATGGAAACCCTGTATTCAGAATTTTTCAGGTAGCAATCAGAAAAATTTGGTTATAGAAACATCTAGTATGTTTTAGTAATAAAGCAAAACAAGAGAGAAATTATATATAAATTCATATTCTTTGGATCATTACCTAAACTTACGGATATTCTCACTCAATTTTATTGGAGATCTAAAACATGCTTATAACATCCTTTTCATGTCTTTATTACAATCTTTCACTGACATGAAAATCATAATAAAGCACGATATACTTTTTTCACTTTATTCAACGAATGAAAATAAAGTTTTTAAAAAATAGTTAAATTGGGGCCGGTGCTGTGGTGCAGTGGGTTAAAGCTTTGGCCTGAAGCGCCAGCATCCCATTTGGGCATCAGTTCTTGTCCTGGCTGCTCTCCAGCTCTCTGCTATGGCCAGGGAAAGCAGTAGAAGATGGCCCAAGTCCTTGGGCCCCTGCACCCGCGTGGGAGACCTGGAAGAAGCTCCTGGCTCCTGACTTTGGATCTGCCCAGCTCCAGCCATTGTGGCCATTTGGAGAGTAAATCTCTTTCTTTCTCTCTGTCTCTACCTCTCTCTGTAACTCTGTCTTTCAAATAAATAAAAATAAATCTTAAAAAAAGAGTTAATTGACAAACCAACACCTTCTTTTTTTCCTTCAGACATATATCTACATTCTAGAATCACACTGCAGCCATATGTTAGAGCTCTTCCTCAGAGTACAATGCAATCTTTAAAGAGTTCCAAAAATCAAACGTGAAACTAAAAATCAGTTCTTTGAAAACATCAAAACCATGCCATAAAAAAAAAAGAAGAAAAAATGACCAATATTCAGAACTGAAAACAGGGAATATCACTTCAGGTCTTCTAACAAGGAAATAAGTAGCAACAATTTTACGCCCATACATTCAACAAAATAAACAAATTCTCTGAAACAAACTACAGAGCTCATAAAAATAATAAAAATAACAAATAATAAAAATAATAAAAAATAATCGGGGCTGGCACTGTGGCTCAGCAGGTAAAAGCTATGGCATCCCATATGGGTGCTGGTTTGAGTCCTGGCTGCCCCACTTTCAATCCAGCTCCCTGCTAATGCACCTGGGAAAGCAGTTGAGGATGGCACAAGTGCTTGGACCCCTGAACCTACATGGGACACCCTGAAGAAGCTTCAGGCTCCCAATTACAGTCTGGCCCACCCCTGCCTTTTGTGGTCTTTTGAGGGAGTGGGTCAGTGGATGGAAGCTCTCTCTGTCTTTTCTTTTCTCTCTCTCAAATCTGCTTTTCAAATCAATAACTCTTTTAAAAAAAGTATTTTTTAAAAAAGGAATAATCAAATGGTCCTCTATCAAAGCAATTCACAGAAAGAAAATCTTAGGCCCAGATTAGTTTTTTACTAGTGAATTCTATTACACATTTAAGTTCAAATAAACAGTAATTCTACACAGATTCTTCCAGAAAAACTTGAAGATGGAAGTCATTCTGAGTACACAGATACTCTAATAATGAAGTTGGATTAAGATTCTAGAAGAAAATATTGGTCTAAAATAGACCAATAATGCCTCATATACAGACATAAAAATTCCCAGTAATAATTAATCAAATCCAAGTACAAGGTGGTTATCTATTTTTCAATGCAAGCTAGATTCAACAGTCAAAGTCAATCAGCAGGGGGTAGTAATGTGATGCAGTGGGTTAAGCTGCTGTCTGTGACAAAAGAATCCCATTTTGAGTCAAGGCTACTCCACTTCTGACCCAACTTCATGTTACTGTGCCTGGTAAGGTAGCAAAGGATAGCTAAGTACTTGAGTTCCTGCTACCCATGTGGGAGACCCAGGTGGACTTTCAGGCTCCTGGCTTTGGTCTGGCCCAGCCTCAGCTGTGGTGGCTACCTGGGGAGTAAACAGTGCATTGAAGACAGGATCTTTCTCTCTCTCTCTTTCTCTACCCTGCACCCTTCTCTGGCTCTCTGCTCTTCAATAACTAAAATAAATATTTAAAAAAAGAAATGAAATAGACTAATTGATGATACAATGTACATGGAAAGTGAAGATATATAGAAAAGTCAATAATTTGGAATAACAATGTTGGAGGCCCCATGCTGCCTGATTTTAGGACTTAGTATAAGACTCCTGTAATCTAGAGAAAGATGTATCAGTGAAAGTTCAGACACGTATATTAATGAAACAGAAGACACAACATAGAAATAAAACCATATTACGGCCGGCGCCATGGCTCACTAGGCTAATCCTCTGCCTTGCGGTGCCAGCACACCGGGTTCTAGTCCCAGTCGGGGCGCCGGATTCTGTCCCGGTTGCCCCTCTTCCAGGCCAGCTCTCTGCTGTGGCCCGGGAAGGCAGTGGAGGATGGTCCAAGTACTTGGGTCCTGCACCCCATGGGAGACCAGAATAAGTACCTGGCTCCTGCCATCGGATCAGCATGGTGCACCGGCCGCAGTGCGCTGGCCGCGGCGGCCATTGGAGGGTGAACCAACGGCAAAGGAAGACCTTTCTCTCTGTCTCTCTATCTCACTGTCCACTCTGCCTGTCAAAAAATAAAAAAAAAAAAAATTTAAAAAAATTAAAAAAAATATTACGGGCCAGCGCCACGGCTCACTAGGCTAATCCTCCACCTAGCGGCGCCAGCGCACCGGGTTCTAGTCCTGGTCGGGGCGCCGGATTCTGTCCCGGTTGCCCCTCTTCCAGGCCAGCTCTCTGCTATAGCCCGGGAGTGCAGTGGAGGATGGTCCAAGTACTTGGGCCCTGCACCCCATGGGAGACCAGGATAAGCACCTGGCTCCTGCCATCAGATCAGCACGGGGCGCCAGCCATGGCGGCCATTGGAGGGTGAACCAACGGCAAAAGGAAGACCTTTCTTTCTGTCTCTCTCTCTCACTGTCCACTCTGCCTGTCAAAAAATAAAAAAAAAAATATTACATGGCCAATTGATTTTTTTTTTTTTTTTTTGACAGGCAGAGTGGACAGTGAGAGAGAGAGACAGAGAGAAAGGTCTTCCTTTTGCCGTTGGTTCACCCTCCAATGGCCGCCGCGGCCGGCGCGCTGCGGCCGGCGCACCGCGCTGATCCGATGGCAGGAGCCAGGAGCCAGGTGCTTTTCCTGGTCTCCCATGGGGTGCAGGGCCCAAGCACCTGGGCCATCCTCCACTGCACTCCCTGGCCACAGCAGAGAGCTGGCCTGGAAGAGGGGCAACTGGGACAGAATCCGGCGCCCCGACCGGGACTAGAACCCGGTGTGCCGGCGCCGCTAGGCGGAGGATTAGCCTAGTGAGCCACGGCGCCGGCCGGCCAATTGATTTTTAACAAAGGTACGAAAAATATCAATGAGTACAAAGGGAATTTAATTGAGAAAATAAAGTCTTCAACAAAAGGTGCCAGAACAATTCAACATCCATGTTGAAAAATATGAATCTTGGTATACAATTTGTCTCTCATACAAAAATAATTCATAACTAACAGACCACAGACTAAAACGGCCACCAGAACACTGCCATAACACTTTTTAAAGATAACATAGAACAAAATTCTTGGATAACTTGAGTTCACAAACACAACCTACTAAAAACTTGTTTTATGCCAGATTTCATAAAAGTTAAAACCTTTTGTTCTTCAAAACAGAATGAAAAGACAGGCCACAGAAAAGGAGAAAATACCCACAAGACATCTAACTGATAAAGACTCATATCTAAAATATGAAAAGAACTCTCAAAAGTTAGTAGTAAGAATATGCAACCCAAGCAACATATATCCTTCTCTGTTGTTCCTCTGAAATTTATATTCTAATAGGATTTACTTCCTGTTTGTAACATTGTTATTTTAATATAATTACACTGTTAATATTATATAAATTATGATTCAATTTAAACAATTAATTGAAAAGTTTTTAGATACACAAAATTTCCCTTAAAATGTTTGTTTGAAAAGGTCAATATTAGTTCATGTTAATAGTAAGAAGAACGTTTTATTTAAATAAATAATATAAACTCACAAATAGATCAGCTATCTTCCTCTCCCTTTTTTAAAACAAAATTTTCACAGGCCTCAGCTGTTACTAATTATATTAATATTTTTCTTTTGAAAAGTCAACAGAATTATATATACACTAGTTGTTACTGAAAAACTTAATAACAAAATAACCGGGAGAGTTTGTTATTAATTGTATTTCATGGCATAGAATGGAATGTGAAATATGTGCCATTAGTCAATCAGATGTTAAACACTAGACTTGTATTTATTTAATCCAGTCTTCTAGTGATGTCTGGTTGATAAAAACCCAATCCTAGGAGCTAAATTTAGTTATTGTCTCAACATAAAATAAATATTTTCTCAATTCTATTTCTGCAACATGGGATTTATAATTTTTTTAGTAAGCATTCAATACAAAGTGACAGATTACCAATAGTCTATGAGCAAGTTAATTTCAGCCTTTAAATATACTTTTTTTAAATATACTTTTTTCAATGCTGGAAGTCAATATTTAAAAATTGCTTTGGGTTTTCTGGCTAAATATGTCTTAAAAAAAGTCTTACAAGATTTTTGTCCTAGTGTAGAGAAAAAGTATATGAAGCTAATCACTTAGAGATCTGTTTCCTTCAGCAAATTGTGTAATGTCTCTGATCCTCTGCTATGTTGTTTGAAAAATCAGGAAGCTAAATTCACTGAACCTAACCATAGATGTTAGATGCAAGTCATGTTCTAAAAATCCTTATTTTATAAGATGCCTTCAGATAAATGTATTTCTTCCACAATAAGAGATGAAATGCATACCATCTATAGTAAAAGTATGACCAATAGAAAGTTCTTAGGACTTTGGATGAATAACATTTCTGAACTCCAGATTTTCCTCCTTAATTAAAAAGTGAGGTTTGAAAATTTGTATCTTCTAACTCTATGAACTTACCTGAATAAAATTTTCAATAGCAATCTTGAGATCTTTTTCATAGCATAAACACATATGGAGTACATTATTTAAATACAAATCCAATACATACATAGTAGATAGATGCCTATGGCAAGTCAGTTTGAATTATGAGAATATACTAAAGGTAAAAATCTAAACACATAAATGAAGAACACACTTAACACCTAACCACTCAGCAGAATATATATCAGCATGTCATCAAATTCTTCTTAAATGTAAAGTAAGTGAAAACAAAACAGAACAGATATATATTTTGATTAATTTTGAGCATATAATGAATAATAATAATTGTATACTAATGACAAAAGTAACAGATACTAAATATATGGGGATAAAATAAAATTGAATTTATTAAAGAATAAGAATTCAAGGTACTTATTAAATCTGGTAAATCAATCTCAGGTTTTCAATAAGTATGGAATGTCATTAAATATAACTTAAGGTACTTTGTAGTTCATTTGATTTTGAAGGAAAAAAAAGAGTAGACAGAATAATATACATTTAGATTATCTAAAGAATTCACTTATACCAATAATACTCAAATAATGGCCCATGGTTCTAAAAATGGTCTTCAGTGGAATTAAACTCAGTGACCCAATAATTCCTTCTCCAGGAATTTACTCCAAGAAAATAATGAGAAATATAGACAAAGATGTATGTACACATATATGCACTGAAATATTATTTCTAATAGCTAAAGTGAAATATCTGAAAACAAGGTATAGTTAATGTGTGAGAGATTTAAATAACATTATAATCAACAAAGACTTTATGACATGGAAAAAAGCAGGTAAGAATTTTTATTCTATGTAAGTATGTATATATATACCTATCTATCTTGTATATTCCATCTACAGAGAAGGAAATAATATATGTTCAACCAGTATTTCCCAAAGACCACTGAATCAACATAATAAAGATACAGACAGTCAGGAGTTTAATATAGTAATTCAAGTAAGAAGTGAGCAAAGATGACATGAACTAATTCAATTATTTGGGTAACAGAAAGACAGATAACTTCAAGAGATATTTATGGAAGCAGGATGAACAAGTGATGGCTACCAACTTGACTAGTAGGTGACAAACAGACTGGGCTAAACTGTAACTCCAATTTTAGTAGATGTGCTGCCGAATTGAGCACTAAACTATAATTCCGCAGACTGATATAAGAAATGCAGGCAGCAAAACAATTTAAGGAAAAATTAAAAGGTCACTTGACCCTGAAGTATATTTTTAAGTTTAAGCCACTTTATATATGTTATGCTCAATGTGGTGAGATCTATTCTATACAATAAACTGGAAAGGATTTTTATTGAGAAACTTAATTATCTGGAATGCTAACATAGAATATATTTCCTAAAAATCATTGTAGTCAGTCACTATAATTGCAAAATATTCATTCAGAATGATCTCAGTAGGGGGATAAAGTGTTTACTTTTTATCAAAACAATTCTAAATTAAAATGGCTAACAGATTGTTTCAAGAAGGAGGTAGGCAAGTTACCATATCATTTTTGTTCTCCATAAAAATGCTGAGTTTCTTCAAGAATGACACGACTAGAATAAGCAGCTCAAAATTGTCCCGATCAAGAGCCTTCACCAACATGTGAACTATGTTCTTGTTCCTCATCTTCAGTTCTGTACGAGTATCCTCAGCAAGATTGAGAAGCAAATAAAGAGCAACTGGAAAAGCAAAGTAGATGAGAGTTAAATTATTGATATACTGAGTTGAAAATTTAAAAAATCATCTCAGGGATGAAAAATACAATTTTAGAATAGTAACTGGTTAGTAATTATCTCATTAGAAAACTTCAGTGTATTATCAAATAAGGTATATATATTATATAAAACAAAAGTACAAATAATATTTATAAAATAGTATGATGCTGAGGACACCATAATCAAAATAAGACAATCCTACCCTCTTGAAATTTATAAATGAACAGTTTTCAAAGGACAACTAAAGGTAGATAAGTCAGAAAATAATAACAGATAGGGTAAATATTTTTTATACATATAGAAAACAGGAAAGATTTTATAAAACTTTAACAACTAAGACCTGCTATGTTAGAAGAGCTATAATGCAAAATATATAGTATACCTAAACTAAATTTGAGGACACTAAAATAGTTTTTCACATTCAAACAATTTTCTATTAGTCACTATAAGAAAAGGCCATATGAAATTTAGCAATACAACTGTTACACCAGAGTTGAGGTTATGTCTACTAGTTCTAATTAAAATTTCTTTGAGATCTCTGTAATGAAAATACTTAGGTTCTTAAAGGATACTCAAATGACTGCTCTCTTTTGACAGTGAACATTAAGATAATGTTTTCCATTTTGTCTCTATTGAAATGATGATTCAGAGTTACATTGAAAGGTTTCTGTCAGAATTATGTAGCCTGGGGTGGGCATTTAGTGCAGTGGTTAAGATATTAAGGTATGGTTTGGGATTGCCCTTCTCTGGTATTACAATGTGTCAGTTCAAGTCCTGAATTCACTTCTAATCCCATCTTCCTGTTAATGTACACCTGGGAAGGCAGTAGGTAATAGCTTAAGTACTTGGATGCCTGCCACCCATGTGGTAGACCCAGGCTAAGTTCTGGGCTCCTGGCTTTGGGTTGGCCCAACTCTTCCACAAATATTATGGGGTTTTGGGGTATGAATCAGTGGATGGAAGATTTCTCTCTATTCCTCTATTGCTGTCTCTCTACTTTTAAGATAAAATGATGATAAATAAAAAATTTAAGAAGACTTATGTAACCTATTATGGTCAACATAGCTTTTTGCCCTCTTATGGCCTTGATGTTCAACTCATTATTTTTGTATTTCATTTATTAAATTATTGTAAACCATCTTTATACTTTAATGAAAAGAACTAGGAAATGCATACATTTTTACATGCATAAATAGAAGTATATTAAGTTTTTTAATTTAACAAATATTTGAGGTAGAAAGGTAAGTCACATTTATTAAGTACCTACTATATTCCAAGTAATATACTAGTTGATTTGTGAATGATAACCCATTTCAGTACTAAAAAAATTTTTTTAGGAAAGCAGTATCACAAAAATTGTATACATGAGGGAACCTCAGATTCAGATCAACTGAGTAACTTGTTCTATCCACACAGCTAGACAGTGGTAAACTTAAATTAAAATTCAAGCCCTGGCGGCGCTGCGGCTCACTAGGCTAATCCTCCGCCTTGCGGTGCTGGCACACCAGGTTCTAGTCCTGGTCAGGGCGCTGGATTCTGTCCCGGTTGCCCCTCTCCAGGCCAGCTCTCTGCTGTGGCCCGGGAAGGCAGTGGAGGATGGCCCAAGTGCTTGGGCCCTGCACCCTATGGGAGACCAGGAGAAGTACCTGGCTCCTGCCATCGTATCAGCATGGTGCGCCGGCAGCAGCGCGCTGGCAACGGCGGCCATTGGAGGGTGAGCCAACAGCAAAGGAAGACCTTTCTCTCTGTCTCTCTCTCTCACTGTCTACTCTGCCTGTCCAAAAAAAAAAAAAAAATTTAAGCCCATCCCAAAGTTGATAATTTATATTACTGCATTATGCTACTTTCTATGCAAGATACTGTTAACAGGTTCTAAAGTTGGGCTGAAAAGGCATATATAGCGGACTTGTGCTTACAGTCATGTTTAGACACAGTAGGTTAAATACTGTTCTTCCAAAACTTATGTCTGCTCAAAACCTTAGAATATGTCCTTATTTGGAAGTAGGGTCATTGTAGATGTAATTAGTTATGAAGAGGTGATAAAGGATTAGGGTGGATCCTGAATCCAATGACTGGTGTCCTAATAAGAGGACAGGACATAACAGAGACAGATACAGTGGAAAGAAGACCACGTGGAGGCAGAGGCAGAGGCAGACACTGGAGTGATGCAGCCATAAGCTAAGAAGCACCAACAATTGCTGGAAGCCACCAAAAAGTTAGGAAATGACAAGGATGCATTCCCTTTCCCAGCCATCAGAGAGAAAATGGTCCTGATGAAACCTTGAATTTGACCTTCCAGTCTCCAAAACTGAGAGAATAAATTTCCATTGTACTCGCTTTGCAGTCATTTGTTATAGTAGCCCTAGAAAATTAATACAACACAGCAACACAAACTACATTTCAAACCTTCACCAGGAACAACAACCAAAAGCAGACTAAAGTTCAAAAAAAAAGGTATTCAAACATTGGACTTCAGACAATGAAAGACAGTGATCCCTGAGAGCTAAGAAACAAATGAGCTGGCCCTATGATTGCTCAGAATATTATTGCCTATAGAGTTTCCAGGTCACAAAACAAGGAGAAGAATGCAGGCAGAACCTGATAGAATCCCGGAGTTAAGGAGATGGAGCCAAGAGTCCAGGGAAGTCAAGGAAGTTTGAGTTCACAGAAAAAGCACTCGAGAGGAGAGAACTGATCAAAGAGAACTTTGGGGTTCTAGAGAGGGCTCTCTTGAATACTGAGCATAGTACTAATTGGCAGATGGATGTCAGGAATCTGAGACTGAGAATAGAATAAAATGAGAGGACTGGAAAAAAAATCAAACTTGATTCCTCACAAGGCTGGAAACAATGACTATTTCTACCCATCATACTGGAAGTTTCACAATTTAAGAAGCAATAGTTACAGTCATCAGAAAGGTCTTGGCTCAGTAGTGAGAAATAATCAGCTTTACAGTAAATGCTGCTCACAGGGGCTGGTGTTGTGGCGTAGCGGGTTAAGTTGCAGCCTGAGACACTGGCATCTCATATTGGGTGGTGAGACCCAGCTACTCCACTTCTGATTCAGTTCCCTCCTAATATACCTTGGCAAGCAGAGGAGGATAAGCCAAGTACATGGGCCTCTGCACCCATGTGAGAGACTCGGAAGAAGCTCCTGGCTCCTGGCTCCTGGCTTTGGCTTGGCTGTTGAGACCATCTGAGGATTGAACTAGCAGATGGAAGATCTCTCTCTGTTTCTCCCTCTCTCTGCCTTTCAATCACATAAAATAAATCTTTAAAAAAAGTGCTGCTCATGTACAGAGTAAAATACTATAAACTATATAGGTTTAAGATCCCAACAGATCAAACTATTTCCAGGTACTTCAGCTGTATCCCAAAATAAAGCTCATTCATAGGGATAAAAATATCTAGTATCAAACAATAAAACTTCACACTGTTGGGAAGTTAATCAAATATTATAAAACATGCAAAGAAACCTAGGAAGAAGAAACACATAAGAAGGGCAAATCACTGACAAATCTGTCCTTTAAGAAATATTAAAGGAATTCACTCAGGCAGAAAGAAAATCACACCAGAGAGTAACATGAATATACACAAAGGAGTAGGATCAGTGGAAATGGTAAGTAATATATAAGATTTCTGATCATTTAAATATCTTTAAGATAAAAATATTTATTAAAAATGCATTACATGGTTTATAAATATGTTTAATACATGTATAATAATATATGACATAATATAATGAATATATAATACTACTACTACCATAAAGACAGGGAGGGAAAATCGTTCTAACACTAAAGAATTAGGATGAAATGGATTTTGGCCTAATGGTTCAGTTTCCTGAGTCCCCTATCAGAGTGACTAGGTTCACCAGACCCCAGCTAACCACTAATATACACCCTGGGAGGCAAAGGTGATACCTCAACTGATTAGGTTCCTGTTACCCAAGTAGGGACCTGGATAGAACTCCAGGCTCCCAGTTTCAGCCCCAGCCAAGGGCTGTTGTGTATATTTGGGAAGCAAAAAAGCAAATGAACGTTCTGTTTCTTTCTCTGCCTCTCAAATAAATAATTTAAAAAAGAATTGGAACATATCATTTGAAAACAGACTTAGGATAGATGTCATAAGATGTACACTTGAAGGTAGACAATTACAATCAAACATGTATAACATGAATTAAAGCAATCAACAAAGAGTTATAACTAAGTCAACAATGAAGATAAAATGGAATTTTAAAAATCCTCAATCTACAAGGCAGACAAGGAAAAATCAAGGTGAAAAAGACATGCACACTGGGCCAGAGCTGTAGCACAGAGGGTTAATTCTCTGGTTTCAACACCAGCATCCCATATCTCCCATATCAGAGACTGCTGGTTTCAGTTACAGATGGTTTTATTTCTGATCTATCTCCCTCCTAATGCACCTGGGAGAGCAAGGGCTCCTAAGACTTGGGCCCCTGCTACCCACATAGGAGACTTGGATAGTTTATGGCTCCTGGATTTGGCCTGGTGCAGACCTGGTTGCTGTGGCCATCTGGGAAGTAAACCAGCAGTTGGACGTCTCTCTCTCTCTCTCTCTCTGCCTTTCTAATAAACAAATCTTTAAAAAAAAAAAAAAAAAAGGAACACACACACAAAAGCAAGACTCAACTTTATACAACTTTATACTGTTTATAGAAACAGCTTTAATATAAACATGTAAATAAAGAATATGGATAAATATGTACTAGTTGTAAGAAAGCAGAAGTGGCTGACTCAATACAAGACAAAGTATATTTCAGATAAAAGATTACCAGGCATAATGAAGATCTTTCCATGGTAACCACAATTCACTAAGAGCACACTGCAATCCAACATCTTTAAGACCCCAAGAACAGAGAGCTTCAACATACATGGAGCAACAGATTTTCAGGAGAAATAGCAGATAAATTCCTAAATCTTGTTAGGTTTTAATAATACTCTCAAAAATTAATAGAAAAAAATCAACAAGATATAAAGATTTGCATATTACTATTAGCCTACTTCATCTCAATGCCATTTACAGAACATACTACTGAACAATGGCTAAAATAGTCATGTGTGCATGCAACCTTTACTAAGACCATATTCTAAGTCATAAAACCAGTCTCAATAGTTTCAGAAAGATTAAAGCCATACAAAGATATGCTCTGATGACAATGGAAATAAATAAACGTTAATACCAAGCATGATTGGAAAACAGAAATCATCTGGAAAATATCCAATTATTTGGAAACAGTGTAATTCCCTTCTAAATAACCTGTGGGTCAAAGAAAAATATAAAGAATATTTGGAAAGTATTTTTTAACTGAGTTAAAATGAAAATTAAAACAGAATTTATCAGAATCTATATACATGGAATGCTGTCAAAGCAGTGCTTAAAAGAAAATTTATAGAATTAAACATCTTATGAGAAAACAAAGGTCTTGAATGATCTCAGCTTCCACTTAAAAAAAAAAAAAACAAAATAAGAGCAAATTGAACTCCAACTGAACAAAAGAAATAATAAAGATCAGAGTAGACATCAATGAAATAAAACTACAAATATACAGAGCATCAATGAGACAATAGCAGATTGAATTGGCAGCAGCATACAGATTGTTCAACTGCAATCAGAAATTCAAAACTGTTTTAAAAGAGCACTAGAATTTCAACAACATAAGAAATGGTTAGGGATAAATCTGACAAAAGATATGAAATATTTGTAGTCTGAAAACAATGCAATATTGGTATGAGAAATTAAAAGGATTAGAAAGTCCAAAAATCGGCATAAACATATATGGATAAAGGTTTTTGACAAAGATAGAAACTAATTCAATAGGTAAAGAACAGTCTTTTCAGCAAATAGTATTTGAATAATTGGGACAGACTTGCAAAAAAAAATTTGATCCCTCACAACATATGCAAAATTAACCTAAAATGTATAATAGACCTAACTGCAAACAGTCAGGCTATGAAACTTCTAGAAGAAAACATAAGAGAAAAATCATAACCTTCTGTTAGGAAAAGACTTTTTACATGTAATAGGAAAGTCATGATCCATAAAACACTAAATTAGATGTATTTCACAATAATTAAATACTCTTCAAAAGATATTATTAGGTGATGAAAAGACAAATCACAGACTGGGAAAACTTTTATCAAATATCACATCTGATAAAATCTTGTATCAAAAAATATATAATGTATATATATTTTATATATATACATAAATATACAATATGCTAATTAAAAATAGGTAGAAGACACAAAAGAAACACTTCAACCAATACAAAGAGATGGAAGACAAGCACATGAAGAGATGTCCACCATACTTGATCACTAGGGAAATTCAAATCCAAACCACAATAAAACACCAATGCATACATTTTAGATTAGCTAAAATGAACAAGATTAACCCTATCAAACACTGGCAAAGATGTTAAACAGCTAAAACTCTCTCATTCTCTGAGTAGGAATGTAAACCAATGTAGAAAACCACTGGGCAGCTTCTTACAAAAATAACCATATATCTTTTTTGTGATCCAGTAATTCCATGACCAGGTAATTAACCAAATGGAAAGAAAGCCAATTAAGCCTTGTAGACAATGTCCAATTGAGACTTGTAGACAAATGTTCACAGCAGCATTTTAATCACCAAAAAAACCTCAAAATATTCAAAATGACCATCCACAAGAGAATAAAAAAAACCATGCAATAAAAAAGACTGACCTACTGTTAACTGAAACAGCAAATATAAATCTGTTGTGTTGAAAGAAGACATACAAAAAAAAGAATGCATGCTATATCATCCCATCTATATAATACTCTAAAAAAGAAAAACCAATCGAATGCAATAGAGAACAGATCACTGATAACTTAGCATGAAGGAGAGGGGGAAGGAAATGAAAAAGGTTACAAAAATGCCCATGGAAACTGTGAACGACAGATATATCCTTTAGTTCAATTTGGTCATTGACTCATGGCTATTAATATGTTGAAATTTATGGAACTGTAAATATGAACTTTTATAGTTTATTACCCATCAAAAAAGACATTCAATATTTGGATAATAAAAGATTTATAAGAGGCTAAGCTTAAAATTTTACACATTAAAAATCAACTTAGGAGCTGATGCTGTAGAATAGTGGGTAAAGCTGCTGCCTACTGCACAGGCATCCCACATGGGCGCTGGTTCGAGTCCCAGCTGCTCCACTTTCAATCCAGCTCTCTGCTATGGCCTGGGAAAGCTGTAGAGGATGGCCCAAGTCCTTGGACCTCTGCACCCACATGGGAGACCTGGAAGAAGTTCCAGGCTCCTGGCTTTGGATTAGCCCAGCCCCAGCCTTTGCAACCATTTGGGGGAGTGAACCAGCGAATGGAAGACCTCTCTCTCTCTCTGTCTCTCTCTCTCTGCCTCTACCTCTCTGTAACTCTGCCTTTAAAATAAACGAATAAATAAATCTTTAAAAAAAATAAACTTAGAGCTTTGAAATTCTGACATGAAAAGAACTAATTTCTGGAGATCTGATGCATTTTAGATAACATATAATTCATAAGTTGATATGGATAATATCTATTATTTCCTAGACTATTTTAAAACTAACTTTTGAAAATCTGGATTTTTTACAACAGGCTAGGCTGAATTATCAACTTCAAATATTAAAAAAATTTAGGGTTGTTAAAAATACTACTAACTCTTAAGAAATGAAAACATTTGGAAGTTAGCAAATATTTTCAGATATTAAGTTAATCAAATGATCAATGACGAAAAGTAAATCTCAATAGTCAAGCACAAATCATGTTGAGGGAAATAAGCCAGACACAGAAAGAAACAATAGTGCACATTCTCCCTTGTATGTGGGAGCTAAAAAAAATAGCAACACAAAAAACTCCATCTGATCACAGAATGTTGATTACTAGAGGCTAAAAGGAGCACAGGAGATGAATGGAAGGGGAGAGGGAGTGGATAAGGGGAGGGTTGTGGGTTGGAGGGACGTTATGGGGGGGAAGCCATTGTAATCCATATTCTGTACTTTGGAAATTTATATTCATTAAATAAAAGTTAAAAAAAAATTAAGGGAAGCCGGGTGCAATTCATTAATTGTGTAAAAAATAGTAATATGAGAGTTTATGAGAAAATGAGGTGAAGAGTATCTTGGACCTCTTTGTATAACTACCCCAAAATTATTGTTTTGGAAATTTATAAAACAAGTTAGGATGTGAGACACAAAAATTATTATTAAAAGAGTCACATACTGGATTGAAATTACATTATGAGTTAAGTTGGAAAATGCTGTGGAATAAAATAAATGTTATATATATTCAAGACAGAAGAATTTGCAGCATATTAAGATTTATAGAATTTTCAGTTATTCTGGTATTAGCTTTATGACAAAAAAAATGGAATAAAACTAACGTATTGTGAGTAAGCACTTTGTTGCTTTTCTCACTAGTTAGGAAACCATACCTCGTAATAGCTGTTCTTGTTTTACCACAAGCCCTTGGTATTTTTTAAAGGTTTTTTCATACTCCTTTCTCAAGGTTTGGTTTTCAGGATCTTCATCAAGTAAACAGCTTGAAGTTAAGGATCAAACATACTAACTGAAGCAAAGAAAATATACTGAAATAATAGCACTAATATAATGTATTTTATATGCAATTTTATATAATTATATCCTCTAATGAATAGTTTAGAATGTTCATCTCTATTGTGTTACAATAGGATTTTTTAGGAATCTTAGGATTAGCTTGGAATACTTGCATGAGCAAATGTTTGAACGTCACCATATACCTGAATTTCCAGAAACTGTACACACAAATATTTTATGTAGGTTGCCAAGCATTTAATTTTCAACAGATTACCAAGTGGGTCCAATGAACCAAAGTGATTATTTGCTATAAGAGAGTGATTCTCTGATTCCACCACGGACAGATGCCCAGAATATTTAAAAGACACAGATTAAATCTAATTTTTAGCACTCTCTTCTGACTAGAGATGCTAAGAAAGAAACAGCTCAAGGAATAAGATCCACTTTTTCCACAAATGGGAGTTAATAAATTTATAAAACTCTGCAGAATAGGATAATGTTTTCACATTTTAAAAGACATTAATAAAATTTGGGTTCAAAGGAAAGATAACAGCACGGTGTGCTGATCTGTACAACATATCATGTTAATACAGATATAAATAAACCAGGGCCTGTGATCTAGAAGAATTAAGTTGCAGAAGTAATATGATAAATATCTTCATATAGGGAGGACTTGTGATGCTGCAGAAATATCCTTACTCAACATTGCTTCAGTATCTTTATTCTACATTGCTTCAGTGTGCAAAAGTAGAACCAAGGGATAGAAGCTTTGGGAAATAAGCAAAATAAGGTTATAACAAATAGAATGCCAAATGATTTAACCTCAATGGGTATATAAACATTCTTTAGAGAAGGTACAGAAAAGATTGCCAAATTGTGAGATAGATTAAAACTGGTAATTTTTAAAACTATTTTTATGAGTTCTATCATTCTATAGACCTCTCAAATTTGAATTTATTAAAAAAAACTATTTTTGGACTTACCTAGGAAAATAGAACTTTAAGTTCATCATCAAATTTGTACCTATTCTAATTAAAGTTACTTTAGTACTTAAATGGAAGTATACAAGCAACAATGGTGAGCCATGCTTCGGTTAACAAAGGATCTTAGTGCACATTACGGTGTAGGCACTAAGAGGTTCACTGATTCAGTTATCCAGTACCACTATAACCTTTTCTACATCATTAGTCACTACGGTAAAGAGACAAAAGGTAAAAGTATAATGTCAAACTATATTCACTCTGATGGTTTTAATGTTATCTTAACCGTCAACACACTTTTGCATTGTTTCCAAGTAATGTGATCAGCAATTTTTAAAGAAAAGAATGTAAAGAACAAAATGCCACTCTAAAAGGATATCAGCTTTCTTCTTCTTAGAAAGTTCTTCTTGCCAAAGCTCGTGTCTTTTTAATTCATGATCAATAATATTCATACATAGAGCTCCGATTTTATAGTGAGTGATAAGCCCATGAAACTGAGAAAAACTTTAAAGAAGAGATTTTAAAAGAATACATCTTGTGGGAAATTTGTTTTCAATAAACACTGGGATAAGCCATGAAGAAAATAAATTTGATATACATATTTCAATAAATGAATTTTTTTTTTGACAGGCAGAATGGATTGTGAGAGAGAGAGAGACAGAGAGAAAGGTCTTCCTTTGCCGTTGGTTCACCTTCCAATGGCCGCCACGGCTGGTACGCTGCGGCTGGCGCACCGCGCTGATCCAAAGGCAGGAGCCAGGTGCTTATCCTGGTCTCCCATGGGGTGCAGGGCCCAAGCACTTGGGCCATCCTCCACTGCCTTCCCGGGCCACAGCAGAGAGCTGGCCTGGAAGAGGGGCAACAGGGAAAGAATCCGGCACCCCAACCAGGACTAGAACCCGGTGTGCCAGCGCCGCTAGGTGGAGGATTAGCCTAGTGAGCCGCGGTGCCGGCCAATAAATGAATATATTGATAGCATACTAGGAAGATGTGAAAAAAAATTATTTTTTGACAGGCAGAGTGGACAGTGAGAGAGAGAGACAGAGAGAAAGGTCTTCCTTTTGCTGTTGGTTCACCCTCCAATGGCTGCCGGGGCAACCGGGACAGAATCCGGCGCCCCGACTGGGACTAGAACCCGGTGTGCCGGTGCCGCAAGGCGGAGGATTAGCCTAGTGAGCCACGGCGCCGGCCGGAAGATGTGAAATTTAAGATTACCATTTCTGAATTATTTTTCAGGAATTAAATACTTTTTTAAAAATTAATTACCAATATTAACTACTCAGATATTCTCAAAATAAATTTTCAGACTACTAACAAAATACTATAACAATACTAGGCATATATTATATAAAATAGACACCAGAAAATAAATTAAAAAGAATATACTATAAAGTATTAGCCATCAGGATTTATATATCTCCTAGATGATTACTTATCAAAGTATTTTTAATAAATATTTAGTTGCTAATGCCAGTATATTTTAGAATAGAGGCAAGCAACTTTCTACAAACTGGCTAGAACCTTTTCACAATGTCTTAACATCTTCTTTCTTAATCATATTGTATAAAAAATAAATATACAAATGATGTGTTTGCACTATATGTATATAAGAAACAAGGACATTTACTGAGCACTTAACTCTGAGTCAAGCTTCAAGTATATTATTTTTAGTTTATTTTTATTTTTTTGAAAGGTAGAAAGACAGAGACAGAGACAGCTACAAAGAGATCTTCCATCTGATGATTCACTTCTCGGATGAAAAAGACAGGGCTAGATAAGGTGGAAGCCAGGAGACATGAACTCAAACTTGGTGTTCCATGCGGTTGCAGGGACTTCCATCACCTGCTGCCTCCCTGGGTTCATATGAGCAGGAAGCTGGATAGGAAGTGGAGTGAGACTCAAACCCAGGCACTCAGACATGGGATGCAGGCGTCCTAAGCAATACCTTAATTATTGTGCCAAACACCTGGCCCTAATCAATGTTACCTTAATTCTTAATTCATTTAAACTTAAAAACTTTCCAAAGGGGTAAAATTTTAGCCACAAAGAAAGTGAAGGACAGCAAAGTAACCAAGATGACACAGCAGAGCTTAGACTCAAATTCAGACAGCCTGCTTCCACAGCACACACTCTAAAACTATGTGTGTTTGTGGGTATGTACATGCCTGGGTAAATGCAGAATGAACAAGAGCATAACAGAACAAAACAGAGGACAGAAAATAAGAATTCAGAGGCAGAACACAAACATGCGGAGTGACAGAACCAGTGATCTACAAACTGAATCAATAGCACACAGACAGCAAGACAGATTAGTCTTATTATTTAATATTTTTACACTTACCTAGAAAAGCAAAAAAATATGTAAATTATGTTTGTGGCTAATTCAACACTTTGCTTCCAGTCTTCTCTCAGGACTCTTGCTAATGCACCAAGGGCAGTTTCTGAAGAAAAAGAAGACATACAAAAATGATCATTAGCATTGTCGCTGGTGTAAAGGGTGTCCGGTTTTAAATTACTTATTAATAAATAACAATGCTAAGGTGGAACTGGGACAAAAAAGTAGGATGCTTCTTTCCAATACGGAAACCTTTTTTTAAAAAAACTAAAATATAATTTTACTTAAAAACTTATAATGTGGCTTCAAGTCTATACTGTAAAAAATAATTTAGACAAAGTAACACAATATGTATATCATGGGTGGCAAAAAATAATAAATGCAGTATCACTGGTTTGCATTTCTAGCTGTAAGCTTAGTACTGTGGTGCTTTTTTTTAAACATCTTATTTAACACATTTAATAATAAGGAAATAAACCAGGGTGAGTCTAGCAAAAATAATGAGCTGCTTAGTAGACTAACACTGGACCATTAAAGCAAAGCAACCAAGGAAATCTGCATCAGAAAAATAAGACTAGTATTTCAGTATCACAGGACAACATACATAAATAAAACAAAAATCTTTCACAAAATTAGCTCCTGAGTATATTAACAGGCATCTCTGCTGGATTTTTATGTAGAGGAAAGTAAATTAAATGAGTTACTTAATGAAAGTTACCCTATTGTAAATAAATATGAAGTAATGAGACTGGTTTCAAATTAGTAGTGTTAAATGGCTTGCTAGTCCTTAAAAATGAAACATATAACATATAATATATAATAAAATATGAAGTATAGAAATAATTCAACTGCTTTAATAATTACTGTGGATTTACTATACTTGCTATAATGAACTATCAGTATTTATTATGGTAATGAAAATGGTCTGTTTATTTGAACTTTCTTGTCTTTTAGATTTTAGAACAAGAATAAACTTATTAGTTATTAATTCACTTAGTAAATAATTTTTTAGCAAACTGAAAATATCGTAGAACATCATTTCACAATGTGCTTACACTCACAATGGCGCACACTGGAATAGTTCATGATTTGAACAAAAATTATTCTGGAATAAATAGGTAGGCAATGCATATTAACATGCAAAAGCCCCAGGAAGTGCTATTTAATGAAGTATCTCTGTTAAGTTCTGCTCAATCCAATAATTCCCCAAATACTTGACTACTACAACCAAAAGAAATATTATTTTTCAAAATACTGTTTTATATAGAAATAATGTTCTATAGTGTCATGTTCTTAGGCACAGGTTTAGTTTCAGTGACCTAACTACCAAGTTTTACTCATTTTTTTAATAGCAGAGAAATGTTTCCATAAAAATATAGCTGCAAAAATCACACATAAGTTATCAATACAAAGTCAAAAGAAAACATAGTTATATAAAAATAATTTGAAACAATCCAAATTAATATACATGTTGAATGTCAGAGGAATCAAAATTCCATTAATTGTCATAGAATAGTTTTGCTGGATACAGAATTCTTCATTGACAAGAATTTTTTGCAGCTATATTTAGCACTTTGAATATGTTGTCCCACTACCTTCATGACCTCGTGGTTTTTGATGTTCAGCCTACTATTGATCTTACTGAGGCTCCAGGGTACAGGTTAAGTTGTTAATTGTTTCTGCTTCCACGTTCTCTTTACCTTTTGCTTTTGCTAGTTTGACAAAAATCTGTTATCTTTGGTTTTTGTCTTAGTTGGAGTTTATTGAGTCTCCAGGTTCAGCTCCTGGTTTCAGTTTCCCGCTAATGCAGAACCTGAGATACAACAGGGATGGGTTTCAGCCATTCATGTGGGAAGCATGGGTGAGTTCCAGGCTCCCAGTTTTGGCCTGGTCCAGTAATTGTGGGAATTTGGGGAGTGAACCAGAAAGATGGGAGATCTCTACGTCGTCTTTCTCTCTCTCTCTCAAAACAGTACTTTTTAAAAAGAGAAATCTGACAAACAACAGACAGAAAGATGCATACTAGATAAAAATTACTTCTTTCATAACTTACTTTTAGTGAAAGTAGGTCAGCAAACATTGTATTTAAAATAATTCCATTAGTGGCATTACTGAGAAAAAGGTTGCAAGAATGTCCGCCTCCTTTCTCTTTACTACCAAACACTACTTGCTAATTTGACACCTGATGTCAAATTCAAACTAAATGAAATACAACATTTGACAGCTTTTGCTGTGCTAAGAAATGGAAATTCTGACTTAATAAAAATATTTATATATATGTGTGTATATATATTATAAACATGCTACAAAAATGTCATGGGCTGGCATTGTAGTACATTAGGTTAAGCTGCTGCCTGTGATGACTGCCTGTGATCATGACTGCTGGGTTCCGGTTCTGGCTGCTCCATTTCTGATCCAGCTCCCAGCTAATGTGCCTGGGAAGGAAGTAGAAGATGGCCTGATGATTTGGGATCCTGCCACCCATGTAGGAAACCCAGATGGAGCTCTAGGCTACTGGTTTCAGCTTGGCCCAGCCTGGCTGTCTTGGCCATTTGGGGAGTGAGCTAACGTGTTTGTGTTTTTGTGTGTGTGTGTGTGTGTGTGCGAGCACATGTGTGTTTGTCTCTCTTTTTCTTCCCTCCCTCCCTCTGTTTCTCTCTCTTTCTCTGTAACTCTGCCTATCAAATAAATACATCTTTTTTAAAAAGTCAAAAGTCTGGTACTATATTGTAATACAAAGAATAGAAATGTTTTCCAGAGTAAAAGAATGAAGAGACAGAGAATCATTAATGCTAGATTTTCCTCATTTAATGGAAAGATTTGTGAATTCTCCAGAGAATATTTAAATATTTAAATGTAATAAGGAGCTAGAAAACTCATGCAATCTAAAGTTTGATATAAACTTTAAATTGTTCCTCTGTTATAATAAATTTTAAAATGTTTTATATTTTTTCTACATTTAACACTTAAAGTTATAAATCACCATTCAGTAGTAGCTCTTCCAAGTTATCTGGATTTCGAGCAAGTTGTAGGATCAAAGCAGAACCTCGAACCTTGTCAGGAATATCTTCATATAGTAATTCAATATACTCATCCATGTCATTAATGTTAGCAACTTCATCAATCTGAAACAAAGAAGAGGCAGGACATACTCAACAATAATGCTCCACAGATCCAAGATCACAGAAATGATAGTTTGTGATCAGCATACTGCGCTTTATAAAAACAGACAAATTTGCAAAGAACCTACAGCAGTTATCTTTTTATAAAGGAGAATATTAGCTTTTAGGGTACAAAGACTCTAATTCAAAAGTATAAACCATATAATACAATAGAGCATATGTAAACTCTAAAATTTGTTTATCAATATAAAGTATCTCACATATAATTCAAAGTAACTTGAATCTATTACAATATATTTAACAATATTTCAAAATATATTGTAATATTCAATTATGCTTCAAAGTACAACCACTAACTTTTGTTCTTATCAGTTAAATACTGACTTCTACCTTTTTCAGGTCTTCTAACTTCAACAAGTTAAAATTCCACTTCTGATTAATGTGATTGAATGCATTATTTTTTGTAAAAGGCAATTTCATAATCAGTACTCTATTAGATCAGAATACATACAGTCTTACCTCCATTCCTTCAAAAGGAGGTGGATCTTTAGGCTTGCTTGATTTTTCTTTTTTTTCTGTAGGAAGATATTTTTTTTAATCAAGAGAATTAGGTTTTTAGGGTTTTGGGGTAATTATTACCCACCTCAGTTTTACTCTAGCTAAGCTTGGAATATTAAAAAGTATTTTATGAAATCTGTTTTCATGTATGAAAAATGCTCATCTATAATCCATCTTTTCTAATGAGAATAAAATCAATAACTAATATTCAATTTATGTTAGAAAATTTAACTTCTTCCTTGGTTAACTTTTGGAGTACACAATAAGACTTGCCAACAGAAGGCAAAAGAGTCAATTTTAAGTATCCCTTTTTTTCCTTCTTAATTCAAGTTCAAGTTGGGAAAGGAAAATTAATAAAGAAAAGAAAATGATATGACCTGAGTAAAATAAAAACTAAAGTGAAAATTGAAAAATAATTGATTGATAAATTTATAACCTAATTTTTAAAGGTTTATTTTATTTATTTTGAAAGTCAGAATTACATTAAGACAGAGATTTCCATTTGCTTGGTCACTTCCCAGATAGCTGCAATGGCCAGAGCTGTGCCAGGCCAAAGCCAGGAGCCAGGAGTTTCATCTGGGCCTCCTACATGGATGAGAGGTTCAAATGCTTAGGCCATCTTCCACCGCTTTCCCAGACCATTGGCAGGGAGTTGGATCAGAAGTGGAGCAGCCAGGACATAAATTGGTGCCCATAACGGTGCTGGCATTGCATACGGAGGTTTTACTTACTATGCTATAATGCTGACCCAAAAATCTATATGTGCTAATTTAATCCTCATTTATTTCTAAATAAATATAGTCACATTCAAAGGCATTGAACATGCTGTCATTAAATTATATTGAATTAATTGGTTAATAGCATAATTTCATTTTCTAACATAATAACTTTTGTTTGCTCTGAAAATTGAATGAAAGGGTTTTCACTAGTTTAAAGAAATTCATATTTCTCTATAAATGCCTTCATAATTACATTAAAATGGCACTAGGAAACATCACAATTGAGTACATTATGCAACATAAGTACATACAAAGTTTAAGGACTATTGGGTTTACTTTACTCACTTTAAATTTATTTGAAGACACTATCATTCATCATTCATAGGCATTTCAAAATATCACAAAATATTTGCTTATAATAAAAATATTCCTTTACATTTCCTGACCTAGGTAGCACTTACTATCAACAATTAACAAGTATAAATGAAGTGTAAGCTAAGTGAGTAGAAGGAATCAAGTTCAAAATGACTAATTTTGCTTTTAAATAAATTTATAGCCATTCAACTTATTCAACACATATACAATGATAATATGATATGTATTAAGCATTATATTGGGGACTAATAAAATGATGATATGTATTAAGTATTATATTGGAGACTAATACATACAATAAGTATTAAGTATTATATTAGGGACTAAATTTACATACATATCATGCACAAATTATTTATTTTCTGTAAGAGAGGGCTTGATTAATTTGACAAAAGTCCAAGTTGCTGGCCTTGTGCCATAGCAGATAAGGACGCCACCTGTGACACCTGTATCCCATATGGACGCCAGTTTATGTCCTGGCTGTTCCATTTTCCATTCATCTTCCTGCTGATGGCCTGGAAAGAACAGTGGAAGATGACTCGAGCATTTGGTCCCTTGTTACCCATGTGCGAGACCCAGATAAGACTGATGGCTCCTGGTTGCAGGTTGGCCCAGCTGTGGATGTTGCAGCCATTTGAAGAGTGAACCAGTGAATGAAAGATCTGTCTGTCTCTCTCTGTAACTCTGACTTTCAAATAAATAAATCTTTAAAAGAAAATCCAAACAAAATCTCCTTTCATTTGCCCTCTACTTACCACAATCAAAATCTGAGCAATGGCGTGATATTTGAAGAGCACAGTATTTCAGAACCCATCAATGTTGAAAGATATGTACATTTAGCAAATATTGTAAAATGGAATAACTGGGCATTTGATAATGTGGAACAACTTTTCATTTAAGTGGTTTTGTTTTTTCATTTAGATTATTTGACAATGTCTTCTCTAAATAATTATCTCAGCTCTATCATCTTAATAGATTGGATCTTTAAAGGAATTCAGGATAGATGAATGGCAATAGACATACTGAAGAACGAAAATGTGCTATTTTCCTAAGAAATATTCATATAAATTCTATCTTTATGACCAAATAAAGCATATATTTTTAACTTTTAAATACTTAATCCATTGGAACTATAAATCAAATGTAATTTAAAAATTTTGAACACAAAAGTTTAGATGGATCAAGGAAACAGGTTTGTCGATTCCAAATTTTCTCACTTCTTCACTTTTCTCACTTTCTTCACTGTCTACTTCAATTATTCTAGAATCAGTAAAACAGACATTTGTTTTTTTATTAATATTTCAGTTAAATGTATAGATATAAAGTGAAACAAAATTAGAGCATTTTATGTGGAAGCATCTAATGTAAAGGCTGGCATATTGGAAACAAATATTTTTGCTTATTATTTCATTTGCTCACTTACTCACAACATTGGTAAAAGAAATATCCTACCTAACTTTCAAAAGTGTCAAAAGTACAAACTCTAGTCAACTACTCTGGTTTTGCATTAAAGTAAGAATTCTCCTTCTTACCTTTTCCTGACAATGAGTCTCGGCGGTTCTGTAGATAGTACAACAGCTGTTCTACCTCATTGAGTTTTGAAGGATGAATGAGCTTACATTCTTCAACTACTTTCCGTGCCAGGGAAGTTATATCTGTGTTGGCATTGAGACTCTTTAGACGTATGCTGCAAGTATATCAGAGTTTTCCAACTCAGTATTATAAAAGTAGGTGATAGCTTCAATAATACTACTTTAAAATTATTTAGAGATTATAAATTATTATAGAGTCTACCTGTAGCTGGCCATAGACTTACTAAAATATAATAAACTATTAGATATAGTTAGGCTTAGAAAATAAAAAGCAATGATTTTCTTAGAGCTGGACAAAAAAAAATAAGACAAGGAACATAAAATTTTTTTCTGACTCTCCAGGTAGTACAGCATATATAAAGGTCTTGTTTTAAGGAAATATTTCTGATAAAATATATAGTCTTCTGTCACTTTTGGATATGAAAATTCATAGTGCCACAAATTTTCTTGACTATATCTACAATTCTTTTCTTCAGTAAGGACAAGAAAAAATATTGACACTTTCAGATTCAGTTGCTCTGGTGGTAATTATACAGAAAGTAGAACAGAAAAAAAAAGTGAAATTTATTTTAAAGCCTATATGAGGAATGCTGAGGCACAAATGAATGCATTTTATACTTAAGCTAGAGCATTAAAAATAATAATAAACAATCCCCTCCTTCTTTTTAAATTTAAGCAAGGGGAATTACTGGGAACTCCACAAGAAAAGAGTCTTCGAAGCCTGAAAACAATTGTCCATTTACATGGAACCATAGCACCAGGGAGAGTCATGAAGAAATAAAATTAGGTTCAGAGTGAAGAGTCAAACTGGTGACAAAAAAATTACAGATGTTTCCATGCAAGCCCTACATCCAAAAGGAGAAACACAAGAAAACTACCACTGCATATAATTGTTTCTTGGTGAGGATGGCCAATTTTTGTGGAGATGACATCAAAGCTTCGAGGGAGTAGGGATGGAAATCGCAGAGAATTTGTCCTGTACTCAGCATCTGTGAAACCATTATTCAGATGTAGATGGTCTCTCCTAAAACCAGTCCAGTAATATAGATATTATTCCCAACTATTTAGTCAACCCCAAATCTTGTTCTCCTGGCATTCTATAAGCAACCTAGCAGCCTTTAATAAATTATTTTTTCCTTAGATTTGCTAGATTGGATTCTAATGTTTGTAGTAAGAACATTAGCGATATCCTGCCCTATATTTTTATTTAATCTTCTATATTTTTGTATAGTTTTAGCTACAAATCACAAGCAGAGATAGAAAGGATTCATTCAGAGAAAACTCTGAAAAAGACTTCCCCATGTTTAGCTATAACAAGGAAATGGTAAATTTTGAGTTTCTATAAATTTGACTTTCATGATTAAGAATAGGCAAATTAGAGAATTTCTAAACATATTTTGAAATGTTTTATTAAGCTACGTTAGGGCAGTTTTAGGTTTGTATAAAAAATACAGAGTTCTCATTTAGAACCCTCCCCTCCAACACATACACGGTTTCTATTTTTTATTATTACCATTCTACATTGGTGTAAGGACTTTGTTATAACTGATGGATAAATATTGATAATTAGTTCTAACTAAAGCTCACAATTTACACTCTGCTGCACTCTGTGCATTCTATAGTACTCTTGATTAAGCATAGTCATATATCTACCACTATAGTATTACATGGAATCTCACTGTCCTTTATGCCCTGTAACAGACCTCCTCCTTCCTCTGAATCCTTGGTCATCTTTAATCTCTTTACTATATTTATAGTTTTGCCTCTTCCAGAATTACCATATGGTTGGAAACAAGTAGTATATAGCTTTTCCAGACTGGATTCTTTCACTTAAAAATATGCATGTAGGTTCCTCCATGCCTTCTCATTGCTTGACAGTTGTTTCTTGACAGCTCATTTTTTTTAATCACTGAATAATGATTGTATGCATACACCAGTTTATACATTCACCTACTGTTGTTTGCTTCCTATTATTGGCAATTATGAATAAAGCTGTGATAATATTCAACAGCATGTTTTGTGTAAGTTTTCAACTTGCTTTGGGTAGATAACTGAAAGCACAACCGCTGAGATTGTGTGATAAGCCCATCTTTAGCTTTATTAAGAAACTGCTGGGCTCAGTGCTGTGGCATAGTAGTAGGCTGAGCATCTGCCTGCTGCACTAGCATCCCATATGGGTGCTGTTTCGAGTCCTGCTGCTCCATGTGCAATCCAGCTCATGGCCTAGGAAAGCAATAGAGGAAGGCCCAAGTTCTTGGGCCCCTGCACCTGTGTGGGAGACCCAGAGGAAGCTCCTGGTTCCTGGCTTCAGATTGGCCCAGCTCTGGCCACGGTAGCCATTCGGGGAGTGAATCAGCAGATGGAAGAAAGACTTCTCTGTATCTCTCCCTCTCTCTCAAGTAAATGAATAAATCTTGGGAAAAAAAAAAAAAAAGAAACTGCCAAACTGTCTTCTAAAATGTATACCATTTTGCATTCATACCAGCTATTAGAGTTCCTGTTGCTCCATACACTTGGCAGCATTTGGTATTGTCAGATTTTAGCCATTCTAATAGTACAGTGGTATCTTGTTGCTTTAACATAATGGGATTTTCAATCTCTTTAAGGATCTGTTTTCTACCAACACTTAAATTGGCAATCTGATAAATCTTTCTATTCAAGGTAATAGATTTTCTTCTTTTAGTGTGCAATCTCTCACCAAAATATCTGACTTATTATAAAAGGCCAGGAAAAATATGTAGAAGAATTCTTCAGAAAATTTTAGCTGTATGTTTGATTATTCTTATAATCCATATATATATAATCTTCCTTAAACACCCTGTGACTATTAAGAATACCAGAAACTCATTTTAAAAAGCACTCATACTATTTTTGACTACAACCAACAGTTTCTCATACTGAAATCATGAGGAAACAGGAAGTCTGTTGAGAATGGGCTTGAATGCTACTTTGCCTGAAAACTGGAGAATGAAATATAAATCTCTCAGATCTAGGTCATACTACACTGACTACTCCACTTTATGAGAGTTTCACTTCATACCTAACTCAACATACGTGAGATTTTCTTCCACCTTCCCACTGATAAAACCTCTGTGTCAGCAAATCATATTTTCCTTTTGGTCCACAATATGATTCCTCTACAAATCTTGTGCAGCCAGGGTTGAGTATCACAAGGTTGGGTTACTCAGATTTTTTTCCCTTACTAAGCCTTAAATCCACTTATTCTAGCCACAGTCGGTAGTAACTCTTTCCAGGTGGTTAACTCCTATGAATGCATCCCTTGTCTAGACAGTGTACAGATCTTCAAATAATAACAATATTCTCATTGAATTCTAGTTGAATAGGGCTACTGAATGCATCCTTAAGAACTAAAAATGAAATTCCTCTCCAAAATATAAATGAATATAGTTCTAAAGGCAAACATCATCATTTGCCAGCTTTTCATTGGATGTTATATGGAACTTTTTCACATGAAAATCTTAAGATTTTCATGCATTCTCAAAATGTACAAAACTCAAGCAGCAATCACAAGCACAAATCAAAGATAGACATTATGTGAGAATATAAAAAAGTGTGAGCATGTAAGTTAGAATCCACATTAAGTATGTGTTATATGCATGTGCATTTCTATAATGTAGTGTATCATCAAGGATTCAGTTAGCTTTATTCATAATTTAGTCTCCTTCTAACCCCCAAAGAAGACAAATTAAGAAATCTCTGTAAGATATTCAGGCAGTTCCTTTTTGAAGGCTACGATGTATGATTTCTCTATTACAACTCTATTTAAATTTACGCCTAATAATGTCGGTGCAGGTGGCTGTTTTTTGTGTATTGTAGATAATTAGCAACACCTGCCTTCTATACATTGGCTGCCAATGACACCTCTCTAGTTTTGCTGATCAGAACTGTGTTTAGACATTACCAAATGTTCACTGTAGGAAAAATCTGTCCCAGCTGAGAATCATCCCTATGTACTTAAAAAGCAGTGTTTTCTAGTATGCTGTACAGAACTATATGTACTCCTAGCAGCCTGAATATTTTTAATACCGTGAACACACAGAATAGATATTCCTTCTAACTAATCCTTAAATCAGAAATTTTTTTATGAAGGAAAGGGAGTTGAGGGAGAACATTAGGTGATCTCAGACTCTCTACTTCTGCAAACTATGGAAGAAAGGCCAGATAATAACTTGAACTGCAGCTAATCAGAAAGACTAGTTCCCAAGGGACTCCTAAAACTACTTTAAAAGCAGGAAGTAAGGTGTGTAAACTACTGGATATCTAAGACTCTTGGATGAATTCAAGTTCTGTGCACATTTGGGAATTTCTGAAAATCATACCACTTCCTGCACTTTCTGGTAAGAAAGAACACAGCTCCCCAGAAATATAAATTTCCCAAATAAATTGAAAAAGTTCCACATAAATATACCTTTTACAACTGATTTCACAAGATAATTTACATTCTCCTGTAACATAATTGATAAAAATATCTATAATTTAGCATAAATAGAATTTTTAGTTGATTTCACAAGTTAATGTATGTTCTATTTCATGCATTTACTAAGTGGGATAAATAAGAATAGATATTTTTCAGTAGGTTCTCACAATGCTTTATATCTTCTACAATATCATCACCATATTTATAATTTAATATATTCTCTCCTTCACTAAGATGAACTATATCTAAAGCAATGTCACAATCAGTTATCACCTATGCAAATTAAAATAATATCAGCTTTGTATAAAATGTTTAAGGTAACTACTTAGACTTACATTTTTTGGCATTCCTTTCGCTCTCCCAACATGGGATCCCCCATTTCTCCAAGAATGGTAGCTTCCACTTCATATTGAACAATGAGTGCTTTTTCTGATGGATGTACATCAATATTACCTCCTTTAACTTTCCTGTAATACAAAACAAAATAAAAACGAGCACAAGCAATGAGTCACAAAATGTCCATAATTTTTAATCTATTTTCTAGTTCTAAAACACATAAGCTCAATCAGCATATGCGTTTGAATCAGATTTACTATTTTTTTAAAAAAAATATTTATTTGAAAGGCAGAGCTAGACAGAGAGGGAAGGAGAGACAGATAGATCCCTGTCTGCTGTTCACTCCCCAAATGGTCACTATGGCCTGGGCTGGGCCAGACCAAAGCCAGGAGCAGGAGCTTCATGCTGGTCTCCTACATGGGTGCAGGGCACAAGTACTTAGACCATCTTCTGCTGCTTTCCCAGGCGCATTAGCAAGGAGCTGGATCTGAAGTAGAGCAACCAGGTTTCGAACCAGCACCCACACAGGATGCCAGTGTTGCAAGGTGGTGGCTTAACTAGCTGAGCCACAGTGCTGCCCCCCAATTTAATCTTGACTTGGGATAGTAACCCTTTTTCCCAGCTTTGTTCAGTACAAATAATTGTTAGTTCTGCAGAAAGAACTTTCACAGCTTTTCCTGGGAAAAAAAATTTACCCAAAAACTCATACATAAGAAATTAAAACATAAATAAGAATGATGTGACTTACATAAATTAAAATACAAAATATATTAGCTATCATATAATGTAATTATATGAACTGTAGCATTAGTAAGTTAAAAACATTCCTTGATGACACTCAAATTATAAAACTAAATGTACTTAAATGTTATATACTTTTATAGTTATGTATCTCAAATTAATTTCAATAATAGTTTCCATAAAAAGTTGTTTTTATGTTTTAGTGCAAAAATTTTTGAAATCTATAGTTTTTTCATAATATGCAAGAATATGCATATTATACATGTGTATGGACTTCAGAATTTTTTTTACTTTTTTGACAGGCAGAGTTAGAGAGAGAGACAGAGAGAAAGGTCTTCCTTTTCCATTGGTTCACCCCCCAAATGGCCGCTATGGCCAGCGCACTGCAGCCGGGGCACTGTGCTGATCTGAAGCCAGGAGCCAGGTGCTTCCTCCTGGTCTCCTATGCGGGTGCAGGGCCCAAGCACCTGGGCCATCCTCCACTGCACTCCTGGGCCACAGCAGAGAGCTGGACTGGAAGAGGAGCAACTGGGACAGAATCCAGCACCTCAACTGGGACTAGAACCTGGTGTGCCTGTGCCGCAGGTGGAAGATTAGCCAAGTGAGCCGCGGTGCCGGCCTCGACTTCAGAATTTTTATACCATAATAAATTTGTCTCTTAATTCCATTTTCCATGAATTTCTTGAAGTACTCTAGTATATATTCTTTGCCTAAGACTCTTTCACAAAATCATTACCTGTCATTTGGCTATTTTAGAAGGTGATAAGATGAGTTGTACTACATGAGAGTAAACAACAAAACTAGCAACATTTCCCATTCTTATTCATAGTTAGCAATCTAGCTGAGGGGGAGGGGTCTCCTAGCCTGGTAAGAAGGAATAGAAGTATGACAACACTTTAAATTTATTTTAATTCTATAATAAGAAACACCAAGATTTTTCCTCAGTTAGGAATAATACTTTGATATGATGCATATTTCCAATATAATTTTTAAATGATCTATTTACCAGAATTCTCTATGATAAGAGGATGGATTTGGAGTCAACATTATACTAGTAAAATAAGCTAGTTACAAAAAGACAAACACCATATGTTTTCCCTGATCTGTGGTAACTAATAGAATACAAAAAATGTAAATGAGGTAAATTGACATTTTGAGAATTGATTGTTGTTTATTTTTACAGCCCTTGTTTCTACTGTTGAGAAACAGTGTTTTGTTTTTCTGTTTTTTTTTTTTTTTACTATTTATTGAATTCTTTATTTAGTGGAGGGCTAATCTTATGATTATAAAACAAACTGAAAGAACATCATTGTAAAACTTGAAGAAAGGAAGGAAGAGGGAGGGTGGGAGCACTGATAGGAGGGGTGGATAGGTGGGAAGTATCACTATGCTCCTAAATCTTTATATACAAAATACATGAATTTTGTTCACATTATACACATTTTAAAATTGTAAATAAACTAAATAAATAAAAATATTACCCAAAACAATTTATTAAATCCTGTTCCCTCAAAAAATAGTTAAATTTGGAGGTAGAGTAGGAAATTAAATATACCAAAGCATAAAGTTGGAGCAGGATAGCAAGTAAACAGTAATATGCACAAAAGACAAAACTTATAAAGGATGAAAGCAGTCAGAAACCAGGAAGGTCAACAACAACCAAACAATTCAGAAATCAGATAGACAAACACTGAACAAGATGGTCCAGATTCCAAAAGGCAAGGAAAAAGGATCTAATTTTAAGCTGTCAAAAACTAAAGAAATCACAGAAATCAAAAGAACTAAGGAGAACTGAAAAAACAGATATAACGTAGCATGATAGAACTATCTTAATTATAAAGCAAACTGGTTATTTGCTTCCCGAAAAACAGGAATTGATAAGCTGAAATTCCTATCTGGGAGGTAACTGTATTCAGGAAAGAGGTGTAAGGATAAAACAGAATTGCAGACCAGAGTAGCTGGCAAACACCACATATTACCAACTTGGAGAAAAGCCCAATTCCTGCCCTTTGCGTCAGAACATCTTCTCTTTCTCCCATATTAAATAATTCCAAAAATGGTGACTTGATTAGCCCTTGCCCTGACTGTTGATGAACAACTTAATACGTTATCCTTCTTAGTTTTCTTGTTTGTTTGTTTGTTCTACTTAATACTTTTGGTTGAATACTGTAATCAATACACAGTTATTCTCAAGTGTTGAAACTTAACTGAAAAGTGATCGCTGTTAAATATAAGATTGGGAATAAGAGAGGGAAGAGATGTGCAATTCGGGACATGCTCAAGCTGGCTTACCTCAAACGATAGAGTTAGAAACATACCAGGGGATTCCAATTCAATCCCATCAAGGTGGCATGTACCAATGCCATCTCACTAGTCCCAGTGATCAATTTCTGTTCACAACTGATCATAATGATAGGACTAAGAGCCAAAGGGAGCACACAAACAAGACTAGTGTCTGCAAATACTAGCTGATAGAATAAAAAAGGGAGAGAACGATCCAACATGGGAAGTGAGATACACAGCAGACCCATAGAATGGCAGATGTCCTAAACAGCCCTTAAGGCATGCGGATCTGGCTGAAAAGCCCATGAGACTATTAGGGAAGGGAAGGGAAGGGAAGGGAAGGGGAGGGGAGGGGAGGGGAGGGGAGGGGAGGGGAGGGGAGGGAAGGAAAAGAAAAGAAAAGAAAAGAAAAGATCTCCTTGAGTGAGATCCCAGTGAAAAGAACAGGTCTTCAAAGAAGGAGGTACCTTTCTCTGAAGTGAGGAGAGAACTTCCACTTTGACTACGACCTTGTCTAAATATGATCAGAGTTGGTGAACTCAAAAGTCTTCCATAGCCTTGGCAACTCATAACAAGAGCCTAGGGTGATTACTGATGCCATAAACAAGAGTGTCAATTTGTTAAGTCAACAACAGGAGCCACTGTGCACTTACTCCTCCAGTAGGAT